CGCACCCACAGCACACACTGAAACACCCTGAGACACCCGGGCAGGGGGCGTGCGGGCACACACAGCCGCGCACGCTCACACAGCTGTACGCGCACGCACGCTCGGGCGTGTGCCCGCAGCTCTGCACAGCTATACGCAGTCTGTACAGAAGCACACAGATACACACAGACACACACACATTCCTACCTTCCCTCCAGCCACTCTCAGCTGTGCCTATGTCCGGACACATCAGCACACACAGCAGTGCATAGAGACACACCAGCACCGGCAGTCACATGTGCAATGGTGTGTGCACACCACTATATGTACACCCAGTATGGACTCACACAAATGAGGCATGTGCAAGCCATCATGTACCCCTGCATGTACACACCCACCCCACACACACTCTCCACACTGCAGCTGCACACAAACACCCTCAACACAGGCACGTTCTGGACACAGGTCCTGGGGTCTTGGACTGGCTGAGGCTGGAGGCAGCTCTAGTGTCTCTCTGGTCCTACACCCTGCTCAGGCAGGGCCACCTGGAGCCAGGGGCCCAGGACAGTGTCCAGGTCACTTTTGGAAATGTCCAAGGATGGAGACTGCACAGGTGTCTAGGCAACCTGGGCCAGGAAAAAAGTGTTTCCTGATGTGCACAGGGACACTCCTGTATTCCAGTTTGTGCCCATGGCCTCCGGTGCTGCAACTGGGCATCACTGGGAAGAGCCAGGCTTCATCCTCTGTGCTTTCCTTTGGATATTTATATACATGGATGAGATATGCCTGAGCTTCCTGTGCTCCAGGATGTACAGTCGCAGCACTCGCAGCTCCTCCTTGTATTAAAGATGCTCAAGCCCATCCTCCTTGGGGCTCTTCACTGGGCTCCCTCCAGCAAGTCCATGTCTCTTGGACTTGCTCCTCAAAGCCCTACACTGGACAGAGCACCCCCAGGGTGGTTTCACAGTCACCTCTGTGACCTCCTGTGACCCGCTGACAAGGTCACAGGATGCAGCCCAGGATATCATTCACCTGCTTTGCCCTGAGGACGTGCTAAGCTTATGGTCAATGTGGTGTCCCCCAGCCCCCCTGCTGCAGAGCTGCCTTCCAGTTGGATGGGCCGCAGCATATCCTGATGCTGGGGTTGTTCCTTCCCGGGGCAGAACTCTGTACATTCCCTGGTTGAACCTCAGGAGATTCCTGCCAGCCCACTTCTCCAGCCTCTCCAGGTCCCTCTGGATGGACACATGACCCCTGGTTTGTTAGCCACTCCTCACGGTTTGCTGTCACCTGCACATTTGCTGTCCCATCATCCAGGGGATGAGGATGTTAAACAGGCCAGGGCCCAGCACAGATCCCTGGGGACCCTGTGAGCGACCGGCCTCCCATGAAACTGTGCGTCGCTCACCACCACCCCTGGATCCAGCCTTCCTGCCTCGACCTCTACTTATCCAGCCTGTACACCAACAGCTTCCCTAGGAGGACCAGATGGGAGGCAGTGCCCAAGGCCTCCCTGCAGTGCAGGTGGACACTGTCCCCTGCTGTCTGTGTCTGCTGGCTGCTTGCTCTATCACAGGAGGGGATTAGGTGGCCAAGCAGAACCCCCCCTTGGGCAAGCCAATCTGACCCCCTCAACGAGTTGTTGTTCATGTGTCCAGCAATGGTTTCCAGGACTTGCTGCTCCGTCACCTTCCCAGAATGGAGGTAAGGCAGATCAGTCTTGGGTCCCTGGATCCCCCTTTACACCCCTCCAGAAGCCAGCAGTGACATTGGCTCTCCTTGATCCTGTCCCAGTTGTCACTATCGATCACAGTGCTTCCATGATGGCAGGAACCACCTCCACCCCAACTTCCTTGATGCTTGTGAGTCAACCCCCCAGGGACCCAGGGACCTTGTCCTCTCCTACCAGGATCCTCCTCTACCTCACTCCATACTTCACCAAGATTCTCCTCCTCCTCAAGCTCCAGCCTTCCCTGGGTGCTGGCAAGTACAAGCTGAGGGCAAGACATATCACCTGGTCCCCCATTCCCTCTAGGCACGCACACACACACACACACGTGCGTGTGTATGCACCCCAAGCACAGGTGTTCATACCTGCCTATGCTGCACTGGAGCACTGTGCCGGTTTAAAAGTAAACTGGCGTGAGAAATGAACGCAACTCAAGAGAGATTACAAATCAGAGTTATAATTTACTAAAAAGATTACAATGAATACAACAATAGAGAGAAAGACTGGTTTTAACCCACAAAAGCAGATGTATAACCCCACACCCTGGGACAAGAACAGAACGGTGTTTGTCAACCCCTGTGCTGAGCACCATGTGGCCCCCCCTGGGTGCAAAGTAAAAGAAAACCTGTTGGTCCGGATGATGATCGCAGTTCTGTCCAAGTTCTGGTCCTCCTCTGGATCTGGTGAGTGGTACCAGAAGTCCCAAAACCCGAAGTTTATATATGCTCAAATTCAGGTGGGAATGCCCAGTACCTCCACCAGGGCAGGGAGCTTCACAATGGGTGATTTAACTCTGTGAGTCATGGGATATTTTTGGAGTCCTTGATGGTCTGGGTGTTGCAGCTGCCTATTATGCCAGTCCAAGGTGGTCCATTAGCAGAGATGACCCCTCAGGCTGGGGGTGAAGGTGTTAATGCCTTTCCGAAGGGGAGTTATCACAGCTGAGTCATTGGTGTGCAAATAAAAGAACACTCCCCTGTCTCTCAGGGTTTGTTTAACATCCAGCTTGTAGCCTGAGGTGTCAGGTGTGCCCTGGGCAGCTGCTGCAAACAATCCATTTATTACCAGTCCATCGGAAGGGTGTAGAATACAGTTTTACATAGTGATAAACTTGTCCCAGTCCCTGTAAATAGGACAAGCACAGGGACATTGTTGTGCACAGACAAAGCAGTGCCCACTCACAGAGGCACACACAGACACAGCCAGACAGCTGCACACACAGCTTCACACACACAGCCATGCAAGGCCATACACACACAGCCACACATGTAGCTGCACGTAGAGCTGTGCTCACACAGAGCCACACAGAGCTGCACACAGCCATACACACAGCCACACACACAGAGCCATATACACAGCTGCACACACACAGAGCTACACACAGAGCCACAAACATAGCTGCACACGCAGCCACGCACAAGCAGCTGCACACACTCACGGCTGCCCAAGGGGGTGCATGCACCCAACATCGCAAACACTCCACAGCAAACCACAGACACACCCGGCACATGCTGACACAACAGCCACAGTGGTGAGCACAGCTGCACACACAATAATGCACTAAGGCAGACAGGCAGGCAGAGGCAGAGGTGCATAGGCAGGGGCAGAGGTGCATAGGCAAGGGCAGGTGTGCGAGGACAGGTGTGTACTTGCAATGGCTGTTGTGCATGCGCAAAAGATGTGTGTACGTGTGTACGTGCAGGACTGCAGTACATGAGCGAGGTTAGTCATCCATGTGCAAAGACAGTTGTGCACACACAAAGACAGGTGTGCAGATGCAAGGACAGGTGTGCAGATGTAAGGACAGGTGAGCAGGGACGGGTGTGCAGGTGTAAGGACAGGCTGGCGGGGGCAGAGGAGGGGCGCGTCTCGGGCCGTCACGTGGGCAGGGCGGTGCGGCAGGTGCGCGCGAGGCGGGGATGCTCCTGCGCCTTTAAGGCGCCGCGCAAGGTGGCGGGCGTTGACGTCATGGGTGTGTGTGCGTACGTGGGGGGCGCTCAAGGGTGCGGCGGCAGGGGTCGGGCCGCTCCGTCTCGCCGCGATGGACCGCGGCCCGGCGCGGCGCGCCGACCGGGCTCAGCCGCCGTCGCGGAGCCCCGGCCCGGCTCTCCCGCGCGCCCCGGGAGCGCAGCCCGGCCTTGCCCGAGGCAGGGGCTTCGGAAGGCGCCTTTCCTCAGCGGCGGCGTCCCGGTCGGCCGTAGGAGCTCCCGGCCGGACGCCGCCTGCGACCCTTCGGGCACGCCTGCCCGCGGCGCGCCGGGCCCGAGGAGCGGCCCCCCGGGCCGGACCCTGCCCGAGGGCTCCCGCTGCCGCCTGCTGCCCCCCGGGCCGGGTGGCCTCTGTCTCCAACAGCGCTCGGCCGGGGCCGCCCTTCCCGCGCGCGGAGCGGCGGAGATGCTGCCTAAGGCGGAGTCCAGCGACCCATCGCGCCTGGGCGGGCCCCGCCGTGCCCCGCGCCCCCGCGCTGCCAAGGCCGTGTCCAGCGAGTTCCTCGCGGCGGGGTGGGCGGCTTGGCCCCCGAGCGGAGCCGGGCGAGCTGCCCCTCCTCGCGGCCCCTCGGCCACCTGGCTCTGGGACGGCTGCGATCCGCTGCGACTGCCCGGGACGGGC